CGGAAGTGGTGCTGTGGCTCAAGTGGTAGAGCATTAGCCTTGAGCTGAAGAGCTGAGGGACAGTGCCCAGGCCCAGAGTTCAGGCCCCACGACTGGACCAAAAAAATAATAATAAAAAATAAATAAATAAAATGTTGATATCAAGGTTCAAAAGCCAGCATGGACAGAAAAGGCCATGAGCCTCATCTCCAGTTAACCACCAAAAGCCAGAAGTGAAGTTGTGCCTTCAAAGTAGTAGAGTGCTAGGCTTGAGCAAAAGAAGCTCAGGGACAGTACCCAGACCCTGAATTCAAGGCCTATACCTTACCAAAAACAAAAAAACAACAGGTGGGATTATCTTATTCAACCCAATAGGCCCAAAATGTGATCATTTCAACATGTAGTCAATTTAGAAGGTTCTTTGTGCCTGGTGTGGTGGTACATGCCTGTAGTCCCAGCATTTGTGGAGGTGGAGGCAGGAGGACTGCTAGTTTGAGGCAAGCCTGCGTTACATCTTAAGTTCTAGGCACTATCTAGCACTAAATCTCAGGGTGGTGCCCAGGCCCTGAATTCAAGCCCCAGGACTGACACACAAACACAATAAAAAAGCAGGTAAAAGAAAATCCATGGCAAAAGTCATACCCAGCTTCCCAGTAATAGAAAAATGGTTACAAATCATATCATATATACTCTAACTTATTTAAAGAAGGTACTGAGTTCTGATTAGTTCCAACCATAAACTAGTTATTAAATGCTTTGAAGAAAGTAGGTTTTTTTTAGTATAGTCATTTGTACAAAATAATCTGTGATTCATTTCGGAATGCTTTGAAAGAAAATCTTTTTTTAAATTGTTATTCAGCTACATATTCAGCTGAAATAACTTTTCACAGTGATACCAAGGGAAAAAAACCTACAAGGTGAAGTGTTGAAGTCATGAGTAATATGCTAGCGTCAGCCAATGGAATGATCAATAGCACTCACTTTGAATTGTTTTCTTTGTCTTCTTCAAACTGTAATGATAATTTGCTGTTGCGTTCTTTCTCTGCCTCAAAAAGCTCCATCAAATTCTAAAAGACAAGCTCAGATTAGATTAAATGACTGTGACTAGCCATGCAGAGTCAACATGCATGGCGAGTACCTTGTGGGCCACAGGTACTGTGGTCAGTACAAAAAGGTACGGAGTGCTCAGGACGGTTCCTGCCTTTCCCCCTAGAGGGCAGCCACAGACCCATGACACACCACTACCCTTTCTCGCTCACATTCAGGTCCATTTTCAAAGTTTCATTTTCTTGTTTGCAGTTCTGTAGGTTTTTTGAAAGCTGGTCGATTTCAAACTTCATGACTTCTTGTAAGTTTTCGTAGGAATCCTGTAGACAGGCTTGGTTCTCAAGAAGCTTTTCCTTTTCCAACCTTTACCAGGAAAACATTTTCAAGGGGTAAAGAGAAACATTAAATATCTTTCAGCCAGTTAGATGATCCACAATATAATCTATTCCATCAGCAGATCATCCCACATTCAAGACTAGACATAAAGCTCCTGGAGGACATAAAACGAAAGATACATGGCAGCTATTTGAGAGCAGTTTGGTGGGGATGGACAGCCTCCAGCCGGCCACTTCCTCTTTCTTTCTCGTGTGGCTTCGTCCACGCAGGCATAATTGGTAATCTAGGGTGACTAAACAAGTACCCTAAGCAGTAACCACTAATTTCCAAGTTTTGTCGATAGCTCAACTCTAGCCAATGCGTATCCATTCTTCCAACTCTAGGAAGGTTTCTGTAAAATGAAGGTTCTCATCTGAGCAAGAGGGAAATTCTCTGAGCAAAGAATGATGTATGGCTTTTTCTGTTTTTATTCTCTTGTTCCTTCTCGAATACATTGTGATGACATCCATGCATCAGCGAATGAATGAATGAAAATCTGATCACTACCCTATGCAAAATAGATGCCCTGGTTTATACACAGAAAGTTATTAGATATGGAGCTATCTAGAGTATTAAAATATGACAAGAATCAAATTACAAAGAGTAAATTAGATGCTAGAAGTAGCAAAAAATGGGAATACACACATGTACCTCTTGTATATACTGTATATAGTAGGTAAAATTATTCAATAAACATGTGGTATTTGCCAGATGCCAGTGGTTCATGCCTGTAATCCTAGCTACTCAAGAGGCTGAAATCTGAGCAATTTTTTGAAGCCAGCCCAGGCAGAAAAGTCCCCGTGAGACTTTTATCTCTAATTAACCACTCAAAAATCAGAAATGGTGCTGTGGACCAAGTGGTAGAACACTAACCTTGAGCACAGAGGCTCAGAGTCCAGGCCCTGAGTTCAAGCCCCACAACCAACAACAACAAAAAAAACAACCACCACATACTAGTATACTGCTATTTCCTTCAGAGGTCTTAATAGGCTGAGTAACACACTGGAAAATAAATAATAAATGTAAATGAAATAAAAACTAGTAAATGAATTACCCACTGCCCAAAACCACACATGCTATGTATTACATTCTATCCAATATAGTTAAAAAGCTAGGAGGTACATTAATACTTTAAGTATATAGCTAAATAAACATTCTTCCCCTCCCTCTTTTTCTTTTTTTTTGGTACCAGCCCTGGGGTAAGCTAGCCCAGGCTACCACTTGAGCTAGAGCTCCATTCTGGCTTTTTGGTGGTTAATTACAGACAGATCGAATTATCTCAAGGAATACCCCGCCTGGGCTGAATTCAAATTGTGATCCTCAGAGCTCAGTCCCGAGTAGCTAGAATTATATACAGGTGAGAGCCACTGGCACCTGGATTTTTTTTATCTACTTACACTCTGGGAAGTCAACACAAGGAAATTAAAATACACTGAGATTACTAGTTGCTTACAAAGAAAAAAAAGGGTCACATAAAAATAGTCTGTGACTAGGCGCCAGTGGCTTACTAGCTACTCAAGAGGCTGAGAGCTGAGGACTTCAGTTTGAAGCCAGCCAGGACAGAGAAGTCCATGACAGTCATATTTCCAAGTAATAACCGGAAAACTGGGATGGCACTGTGGCTCAAAGTGGTAAAGCACTAGCCTTGAGTGAGAAATCCCAGAGACAGTGCCCAGGCAGGTTCAAGACCCACAATGAACAAAAACAAAAATAAAAACAAAAAAACTTGGGGCTCAGAATGTGGCTTACTGGCAGAGTGTTTGCCTAGCATGCATAAAGCCTTGGGTTGGATTCCTCAGTACCACATAAACAGAAAAAGCCAGAAGTGGTGCTATGGCTCAAGTGGTAGAGTGCTAGCCTTGAGCAAAAGAAGCTCAAGGACAGAGCTCAAGCCCCAGGACTGGCAAAAAAATAAAAAACTAAAACTAAAACTAGTGTATTAAGGCAAGATTAGATTCAGTCATTCATAAGTTAAAGCAAATAAATGCCATGTGCAAGAAAAGACAGTACATCTTGTGATAATTACCAATAAATTACTGTTTGTCCCAGCAGTTTGAGTTAGGTTTACATCACTCACATTTCAAGTAGCTCAAGATTATAGCCAATCAGACACGGTGAATCACAACTCTACCTGACATTGTCGAGCTGAAGCTGAGCTTGCACATATCTTTCAGAGAGTTGGCTGAATTCTTTCTCCTGACTTTCTTTGAATGAACTATACTCCATTTTCACCAAAGAAAGCTCCTTGTCAGCAGAATGAAGAACAATTCGCAGATCATGCGCCTCACTTCTCAAAACTAAAAAGCACATAAAAACAAATCCTCAAGAGAGTTCTTTTAGTGTGTGTATGGGGGGGGGGGGGGGGGGGGGCTGTCCTAAAGGACTGAAATCAGAGCCTGGGCAATATCCTTGAGCATTTTTGCTTAAGGTTAGTGCTCTACCACTTGAGCCACATCTCCACTTCTGGCTTTTTTGGTGCTTAATTGTAGATAAAGAGTTTCACAGGACTTGCTGCTGAAACTGGTTTAGAAACGTGATCCACAGATCTCAACCTCTTGAGTAGCTAGGATTACAGGGGTAAGTCACCGGATAGCTCAAAATAGTTAATTAAAACTTTTCTTTTTTGGTTGGTCATGGGGTTTAAACTCAGGGCCTGGATGCTCTCCCTGAGCAATTTTTGCTCAAGGCTAGCACTCTACCACTTTGGGCCACAGTTCCATCTACAGTTTTCTGGTGGTTCACTGGAGGTAAAGTTTCATGAACTTTCTTGCCAGGGCTGCCTTTAACTGTGATCCTAAGATCTCAGTCTACGCAATAGCTAGGATTACAGACAGACGTGAGTGTCACCAGCACCTGGCTCAACACAGTCAATTAAAACTTTAAGCAATCCAGGCACCAGTGGCTCACGCCTGTAATCCTAGGAGGCTGAGATCTGAGAATCTCAGTTCAATGCCAGCCGGGGCAGGAAAAGTCCATGAGACTTTTTTTTTGGGGGGTC